CTTCCATTCCATAAAATGAGACCAAGAAAACTAGAATACAACAATAAATACCATACGAAAATACGCTGCAAAGTCGCTGATTTATTAAAGAAAAATGGTCAGTTTTTTTTTTTCTCATTATGCAGTGTGTGCTGCAGGATTTTTTTTAGACTGTGCACACTGACCACATAGACCCATTCTTTCATATGAAGGCCTACCAGCTTTCTCCCACTAGATTTGAGGCCGCTAGAATTTATGAGTACTAGTACGTCAAAAACCCCTACGCGTAAGACGTACTAGTACGACCAAAACCCTCAAAGGGTTAAGCATCGTCATAGTATATTACGTATGGGTGAGGGTGGCCAGTAGGGCTACCACACCTAACTTCTTACAGTAAATACTACTCGCCCCTTGCCCTACATTAGGACTACGAATATTTTGAGGTAAATGATGAGTGTACTGTGTTTGTATTTTACTTTTTATTGTTTTTAATGCCTAGTTCTATTGCTAACTTAATATATGTTAGTGTAAATTTATCTGGCATTTATATGAATTTATAAGTGGAAAAAAATAGTGTTCTGCTTTCCGGCGATGTCTGCTTTCTGGCAGTAGCCTGGAACCTAACCTGCCGTATAAGTGGGGCCTTACTGCATAAAACACTTTGCTTTAGGTAAGGCGCTTCGATAATATGCCACTTTTCAATTATAATTACGTTTATTATTTTTGATGCTTGCCTTACTCTTAAGATGGTTTTCAGCAGTGATGCACACATCATCTGACTCAAGCGAGTTGACCAGCATCATTTTGTTACCCTTACTCAGTCTTTGTACAGCATTTGTGCACTGTCTTTCAGTGTCGTATTCTGGTAATTTTAAAAAAGATTCAAACTTTTTACTTCTATTATTGTAATTATTAATTACAATAACACATGGCTGTGGTCTGGAGCCTAACCTGCCGTATTAGCAAGGTATGCTTGTAGTACTCTATAATTACAGTGTTACGAACCCTATAATTATAGTGTTACTAATGCTATAATTACAGTGATACTAAGACTATAATTTTACAGTGTTACTATAATTACAGTGTTACTGACCCTATAATTACAGTCTTACTAACCCTGTAATTACAGTGTTACTAATGCTATGATTTTGCAGTGTTACTATAATTCCAGTGTTACTAACCTTATAATTAAAGGGTTGCTTTCCCTATAATTAGTGTTACTATAATTACAGTGTTACTAATCCTGTAATTGCAGTGTTACTAACCCTGTAATTAGTGTTACCCTATAATTACAGTGTTACTAATCCTGTAATAACAGTGTTACTAACCCTGTAATTAGTGCTACTAACCCTGTAATTACAGTGTTACTAACCCTGTAATTACAGTGTTACTAACCCTGTAATTAGTGTTACTAAACTTGTAATTACAGTGTTACTAACCCTATAATTAGTGTTACTAACCCTATAATTAGTGTTACTAACCCTATAATTAGTGTTACTAACCCTATAATTAGTGTTACTAACCCTATAATTAGTGTTACTAACCCTATAATTAGTGTTACTAACCCTATAATTAGTGTTACTAACCCTATAATTAGTGTTACTAACCCTGTAATTAGTGTTACCCTATAATTAGTGTTACTAACCCTATAATTAGTGTTAGTAACCCTATAATTAGTGTTAGTAACCCTATAATTAGTGTTACCCTATAATTAGTGTTACTAACCCTATAATTAGTGTTACTAACCCTATAATTAGTGTTACTAACCCTATAATTAGTGTTACTAACCCTATAATTAGTGTTACTAACCCTATAATTAGTGTTACTAACCCTATAATTAGTGTTATTGATTCGATGATTAGAGTTACTATCCCTATAGTGTTACTAACCCTATAATTAGAGAATTACTAACCCAGCCCCAGAACGACAAAATGAGATCAGTCACGAGGGACCCTTCACCAAATTCAACTTCAATAACAAGAACATAAAGTGGGACCAAGTAAACCAAGTCCTACACAATATAAGCTGGGAAGATAGACTAAGCAACACAAACCCCAACTTATGCCTAGAACAGATTAACTCTGTGGCACTCGATGTATGCTCAAGGCTTATTCTTTTAAGAAAAAGGAGGAGTAGATGTAAAATAGAAAGAGACAGGTGCTTCTTTTACAGGCGACAGTAAAGAATAACAGAGCAGCTAAAAGAGGTCAATATATCTGCAATGCGTAGGGAGACACTGGTCAGAGAAATAGCAAACATCGAACTAAAGCTAAAGGAATCTTATAGGAGTCAGGAATCGCGGGAAGAACTAAAAGCCATAAATGAAATCGAAAGAAACCCAAGGTATTTCTTTTCTTGTGCCAAATCAAAGTCGAGAACAACATCCAGTATTGGGCCCCTACTTAAACAAGATGGGTCCTACACAGAGGACAGCAAGGAAATGAGTGAGCTACTCAAGTCTCAATATGTCTCAGTTTTTAGCAAGCCGCTAACCAGACTGACAGTCGAAGATCTAAATGAATTTTTTATGAGAGAGCCACAGAATTTGGTAAACACAAGCCTATCTGATGTTATCCTGACACCAAATGACTTCGAACAGGCGATAAATGACATGCCCATGCACTCTGCCCCAGGGCCAGACTCATGGTACTCCATGTTCATCAAGAACTGCAAGAAGCCCCTATCATGTGCTTTTACCATCCTATGGAGAGGGAGCATGGACATGGGGGTCGTCCCACAGTTACTAAAAACAACAGACATAGCCCCACTCCACAAAGGGGGCAGTAAAGCAATAGCAAAGACCTACAGACCGATAACACTAACATCCCATATCATAAAAATCTTTGAAAGGGTTCTAAGAAGCAAGATCACCACCCATCTAGATACCCTCAATTACACAACCCAGGGCAACATGGGTTTAGAGCAGGTCGCTTCTATCTGCCCCAACTACTGGATCACTACGACAAGGCCCTAGATGCACTAGACGACAGAAAGAATGCAGATGTAATATATACAGACTTTGCAAAAGCCTTCGACAAGTGTGACTATGGCATAATAGTGCACAAAATGTGTGCTAAAAGAATAACAGGAAAAGTTGGTAGATGGATCTATAATTTCCTCACAAACAGAACACAAAGAGTAGTAGTCAACAGAGTAAAGTCTGAGGCAGGCACGGTGAAAAGCTCTGTTCCACAAGGCACAGTACTTGCTCCCATCTTGTTTCTCATCCTCATATCTGACATAGACAAGGATGTCAGCCACAGCATCGTGTCTTCCTTTGCAGATGACACCCGAATCTGCATGATAGTGTCTTCCTTTGCAGACACTGCAAGACTCCAGGGGGACATCAATCAAATCTTTCAGTGGGCTGCAGAAAACAATATGAAGTTCAACGATGAGAAATTTCAGTTACTCCGATATGGTAAACATGAGGAAAAAAACTTCATCCAAGTACAAAACAAATTCCGGCCACAAAATAGAGCGAAAAACCAACGTCAAAGACCATAACATTGTATCAATCGCATCTGCTAGAAAAATGACAGGATGGATAATGAGAACCTTCAAAACTAGGGAGGCCAAGCCCATGATGACACTCTTCAGGTCCCTTGTTCTATCTAGGCTGGAATATTGCTGCACACTAACAGCACCTTTCGAGGCAGGTGAAATTGCTGACCTAGAAAATGTACAGAGAACCTTCATGGCATGCATAATGGAGATAAAACACCTCAATTACTGGGAGCACTTGAAGTTCCTGAACCTGTACTCCCTGGAACGCAGGTGGGAGAGATACATGATTATATGCACCTGGAAAACCCTTGAGGGACTGGTACCAAACTTACACACGAAAATCACTCACGGCGAAAGCAAAAGACTCGGCAGACGATGCAACATCCCCCCAATGTAAAGCAGGGGTGTCACTTGCACGTTAAGAGACAACACAGTAAGTGTCAGGGGGGGCCCGAGACTGTTCAACTGCCTCCCAGCATACATAAGGGGGATTACCAATAGACCCCTGGCTGTCTTCAAGCTGGCACTGGACAAGCACCTAAAGTCGGTACCTGACCAGCCGGGCTGTGGCTCGTATGTTGGATTGCGTGCAGCCAGCAGTAACACCTTGAAGTATATCTTAATACTCAATTATCTTAGAAATCATTGGAGGTTCATGGATAATCTCCTTGACACTTCCATCATCACTTGTATTATTTTTGGGTCCCGTGGTTAATATCCAGAAATGAATTAAAGTGATGATAATATCCAAGGTTATTTTATAAAGACTCTGGGTAAGTGACACTTTTAATCCGTAAACGGTCCAAGCAGATCTACGTTCACATGTGTAGTGCTACAAAAGTAGATCTACTTTTTTTTACATATTTTCAAATATAACAAAAAAAAAAGTATATCAAAGTTTTTTTACACATTTTCAAATGTAAAAAAAAAAAACAAAAATAAGATCTACTTTTTTTTACACACTTCCAAATGTTGAAAAAACGTATATATACGTTTGGAGCGTTTACGGGTTAAACTACTGCTGCTGCTCTTTTACAGTTGCATGTTATTGAATTTGTGTTTTCAGAGATGTCATTATCCACTGGTTTATTGTATTTGATGAATTTCCTAGTGGGTGAATACTTGCATCAATAAAAAGTTGTTTGCTTTGGAGATGTATAGCAGCAGTCATGGTCTTATTATAGCCATTTGCCCAGTTATAAAGGTCCCAGTGTACTGCCTCTGAAGATTATCATTCAGTCTTGTTCTAAGTTTACATGAACACATGTCCTTAAATATCACAGTAAAACAGCTGTTTAATGTTTTCCTAGTCAGTCTTAGCAGTACCATTGTAAATCATTCTCCGATGACCTGATATGGTAGTCAGAAACTAATGCTTTTCTTGCCACGAGCTTTTACATTTATATTTGATTCTGTAGAACTTTGATATTTGATCATATATATTTTCTTAACTTATTTTTAGGAGAATTATAATGAGTTCATACAATGAAATAATACATGGCTTTTGTTTACAGGTCAGGAAACAAAGACTACAGCTCAAGAGACAGAGGAGGTGAGCGTGAAAGAGACAGAGGGAGAGAATATGACAGAGACCGAGGCAAAGATAGAATATTTGATAGAAACTATGAGAAGGAAAAAGATCGTGAATATGACAAGCGAAACGAAAGGCCGTATGAGAGGTCTCGAGAACAACCTCGGGAAAAAAATGGAGATTATGAACGCAGTCGTGACCGACACAGAGAACGAGAGAGGGACTATGACAAAGAAAGGGACCACGACAGAGAGAGAGATTATGACCGTCATCGCCACAGAGACAAGGAGAGGAAGAGAAGTCGTAGTCGAAGGTATCTATAATAAATTGATCAACACAAGATGTTTTTCTTGTTTTTTTTTTTATTTATATAACGGCCGTTTCCCACTGAGGCAGGGTGACCCGAAAAAGAAGAAACACTTTCATCATCATTCACACCATCGCTGTCTGGCCAGAGGTGTGCCTACACTACGGTTAAAACACCTCAACATATCAACGCCCCTCCATCAAAACACCTCAACATATCAACGCCCCTCCATCAGAGTACAGGCACTGTACTTCCCACCTCCAGGGCTCAAGTCTGGCTAAAGGGTTTCCCTGAATTCCTTCATAAATGTTACTTTGCTCACATTCCAACAGCACATCGTCATAAAAACTATTCGCCTCCACTCGCTCCTGTCTAATACGTTCATGCACACTTACTGGAAGTAAAAGCCCCTTTCACACAAAATCTCCTTTACCCCCTCCCTCCAACCATTCCTAGGCCAATCCCTACCCCGCCTTCCTTCCACTATAGATTTATATGCCCTCCAAGTCATTCTTATTTTGTTCTATCTTCTCTAAATGTCCAAACCACCTCAACAACCCTTCCTGTGCCCTCTAGATAATACTTTTGGAAACCCTGCACCTCCTCCTAATCTCCAAGCTTTGGAGATTGTTTATATATTGTGTAGCATGCTTATTATATAATTTTGAAAAAAATATCATGGATTAATGAAAATGTTTATATTAGTGTAATGCATTTAAGAGTGATTATTATTGCTTATTATTATTTTTTATTCAGCAAGTCGACCGTCTCCCACTGAGGCAGGGTGACCCAAAAAAGAAAGAAAATCCCCAAAAAGAAAATACTTTCATCATCATTCAATACTTTCACCTCATACATAATCACTGTCTGCAGAGGTGCCCAGATACAGCAATTTAGAAGCATATATAAAGATATATAACATATCTCTCCAAACTGCCAATATCCCAAACCCTTCCTTTAAAGTGCAACTATTGTACTTCCCATTTCCAGTACTCAAGTCTAGCTATAGAAAAATAACTGGTTTTCCTGAATCTGAATCCCTTCACTAAATATTACCCTGTTCACACTTCAGGTTCCTCAAGACTAGTAAGACACTCTTAGTGATTTTAATGTGTACTTGCATGTCAGCACATTGTTTAAGTTTATTTAGGTACAGGTATACATAATTATAATTATCAGAATATGTACAGCCTCTCCTCACTTAACGACAGTTCCGTTCCTAAGACCACATCGGTAAATGAATTCCTCACTTAGTGAGGAGCATAGTATAATGGTAGTGGGTTTGTGTCGACCATCTTTGATATTGTTTTAATGTCATCTTCACACCATTTATAACATTTCTGGTATATTTTTAAATGTTTATACAGTAGTGTACGGTATATTATAATAAACAGAATACAGGAGGCCCTTCACATTTACAAGAGCTTTGCGAATCTTGAAAATTCACAAATGTTTGTTGCGCAAATATGATGTAGGGAATTATAATAATAGTGCACTGTAGCATTCGCGAATGTTTTGATGCGCAAATATTTTTTTTTTTTTTTTTTCAACAAGTCGGTCGTCTCCCACCGAGGCAGGGTGACCCAAAAAAGAAAGAAAATCCCCAAAAAGAAAATACTTTCATCATCATTCAACACTTTCACCACACTAACACATTATCACTGCTTTTGCAGAGGTGCTCAGAATATAACAGTTTAGAAGCATATACGTATAGAGATACACAACATATCCCTCCAAACTGCCAATATCCCAAACCCCTCCTTTAAAGTGCAGGCATTGTACTTCCCATTTCCAGGACTCAAGTCCGACTATATGAAAATAACCGGTTTCCCTGAATCCCTTCACTAAATATTACCCTGCTCACACTCCAACAGATCGTCAGGTCCCAAGTATCATTCGTCTCCATTCACTCCTATCTAACACGCTCATGCACGCTTGCTGGAAGTCCAAGCCCCTCACCCACAAAACCTCCTTTACTCCCTCTTTCCAACCCTTTCGAGGACGACCCCTACCCCTCTTTCCTTCCCCTATAGATTTATATGCTTTCCATGTCATTCTACTTTGATCCATTCTCTCTAAATGACCAAACCACCTCAACGACCCCCTCTTCTGCCCTCTGACTAATGCTTTTATTAACTCCACACCTTCTCCTAATTTCCACACTCCGAATTTTCTGCATAATATTTACACCACACATTGCCCTTAGACAGGACATCTCCACTGCCTCCAACCGTCTCCTCGCTGCTGCATTTACCACCCAAGCTTCACATCCATATAAGAGTGTTGGTACTACTATACTTTCATACATTCCCTTCTTTGCCTCCATAGATAACATTTTTTGACTCCACATATACCTCAACGCACCACTCACCTTTTTTCCCTCATCAATTCTATGATTAACCTCATCCTTCATAAATCCATCCGCCGACACGTCAACTCCCAAGTATCTGAAAACATTCACTTCTTCCATACTCCTCCTCCCCAATTTGATATCCAATTTTTCTTTATCTAAATCATTTGATACCCTCATCACCTTACTCTTTCTATGTTCACTTTCAACTTTCTACCTTTACACACATTCTCAAACTCATCCACTAACCTTTGCAATTTTTCTTTAGAATCTCCATAAGCACAGTATCATCAGCAAAAAGTAACTGTGTCAATTCCCATTTTGAATTTGATTCCCCATAATTTAATCCCACCCCTCTCCCGAACACCCTAGCATTTACTTCTTTTACAACCCCATCTATAAATATATTAAACAACCATGGTGACATTACACATCCCTGTCTAAGACCTACTTTTACCGGGAAGTATTCTCCCTCTTTTCTACACACCCTAACCTGAGCCTCACTATCCTCATAAAAGCTCTTTACAGCATTTAGTAACTTACCACCTATTCCATATACTTGCAACATCTGCCACATTGCTCCTCTATCCACTCTATCATATGCCTTTTCTAAATCCATAAATGCAATAAAAACTTCCCTACCTTTATCTAAATACTGTTCACATATATGCTTCAATGTAAACACTTGATCTACACATCCCCTACCCACTCTGAAACCTCCTTGTTCGTCCGCAATTCTACATTCTGTCTTACCTCTAATTCTTTCAATTATAACCCTACCGTATACTTTTCCTGGTATACTCAGTAAACTTATTCCTCTATAATTTTTACAATCTCTTTTGTCCCCTTTCCCTTTATAATAAAGGGACTATACATGCTCTCCGCCAATCCCTAGGTACCTTCCCCTCTTTCATACATTTATTAAACAAAAGTACCAACCACTCCAACACTATATCCCCCCCTGCTTTTAACATTTCTGTCATGATCCCATCAGTTCCAGCTGCTTTAACCCCCTTTCATTCTACGTAATGCCTCACGTACCTCCACCACACTTACAGTCTGCTCTTCTTCACTCCTAAAAGATGGTATACCTCCCTGGCCAGTGCATGAAATTACCGCCTCCCTTTCTTCCTTAACATTTAAAAGTTCCTCAAAATATTCTCGCCATCTACCTAATACCTCCCTCTCCCCATCTACTAACTCCCCTACTCTGTTTTTAACGGACAAATCCATACTTTCCCTAGGCTTTCTTAACTTGTTTAACTCACTCCAAAATTTTTTCTTATTTTCATTAAAATTTCTTGACAGTGCCTCTCCCACTCTTTCATCTGCTCTCCTTTTGCATTCTCTCACCACTCTCTTCACCTTTCTTTTACTCTCCATATACTCTGCTCTTCTTATAACACTTCTGCTTTGTAAAAACCTCTCGTAAGCTACCTTTTTCTCTTTTATCACACCCTTTACTTCATCATTCCACCAATCACTCCTCTTTCCTCCTGCCCCCACCCTCCTATAACCACAAACTTCTGCCCCACATTCTAATACTGCATTTTTAAAACTATTCCAACCCTCTTCAACCCCCCCACTACTCATCTTTGCACTAGCCCACCTTTCTGCCAATAGTCGCTTATATCTCGCCCTAACTTCCTCCTCCCTTAGTTTATACACTTTCACCTCCCTCTTACTTGTTGTTGCCACCTTCCTCTTTTCCCATCTACCTCTTACTCTAACTGTAGCTACAACTAAATAATGATCCGATATATCAGTTGCCCCTCTATAAACATGTACATCCTGGAGCCTACCCATCAACCTTTTATCCACCAATACATAATCTAACAAACTACTTTCATTACGTGCTACATCATACCTTGTATATTTATTTATCCTCTTTTTCATAAAATATGTATTACTTATTACCAAATTTCTTTCTACACATAGCTCAATTAAAGGCTCCCCATTTACATTTACCCCTGGCACCCCAAAATTACCTACTACTCCCTCCATAACATTTTTACCCACTTTAGCATTGAAATCCCCAACCACCAAATATATTGTAGGGAAATAGAATAATAGCAATTACTTAGCCTAACAATACCGCTTCCTTAACCTATTGAACCACGAATAATCATAAAACACATGAAAACATCGTAAAATATTTTATATACAGTGGAACCTCGAGTTTCAGCCATAATCCGTTCCAGAAGTTTGGCCAAAACTCAAATTGTTCGAAAGTCAAAGCAATATTTCCCATTAGAAATAATGTAAATCCAATTAATCCATTCCAGATACTCAAAAATATTCACAAAAAATTCATTTTTTAATCCTTTCAGGGTCGAAAGGCCCTCTCCTAAACTTGTTCTCAGGGTCGAAAAATTTTCGGAAAAAAAAAATTAATTTTTCTTGTGAAATGATAGAGAATCTTTTCCCGATCATAATGACACCAAAAGTATGAAATTTGATGGAAAACTTACGGAATTATGCTCTCTCAAATTTAGCGGTCTCGCTAATGTTTGCGCATTGGCGATTCCGCCCACTTTGAGGCCTATTTTTGGCCAATTCATGTGTACTAGTCGACAAAAATCATATTTAATTCGCTAGAACTCCATTTTTTCTATCGAATGAGTACAAGAAACCACCCATTTACCAATTTCAACTA